GATCTGTAGCCCTTTACTGCTGTCTTCAATAGTTGTGCAATTAATGGCTTAGAGCAAATAAAACATATTGCAGTATTACAGTATTACAACAAACTCTTTGAAAACTGGCATTTTGTATCTATAGTAAGCAAGAAAGATGTAAGAAAAATGGAAAAGATGTTGAGCATAATGCAAAGCCATTTTATGAATGGTTTCATGAATGAGTAATGAAGAAATGTCACAAAATAAAAAAATTAATCCAGGCAAGAACATTTTTTAAATAAATCTCCTATTTGTATTGTTTTAAAATTAGATTTTTGTAAAGTACTTTGAAAATAGCATGTTATGAGCCACAGAAGCACACTGAATTTGTTATCATACAAAGACAAGTTACGTCTTGATTGTGCTTATATATGTTATAATAGTATAAAACCTTTACTCAATGGTCAGCATTCCCAAATCATTTCATTTTATTTGGTTATTTTCCTCTATGGAGGACAATCTTAAACTATATATAGATAAATCACGTGCTAGCCAAATTTAGAAGCTACACACATTAATTCTTCAACAAAGCACCAATTATGCCATTAGAACATAACTGTCCAGTTCAGCATTTGAGCAAACAGAAGAGAAACAGAAAAGCAATTTATTACAGTCCATCCTGTTATTTGTATAGATCCATTCTCTGTTGTCTGTCTTCTTCATTGAAAATGTAGATGTTTTGTTAATGGTTGTGTCATTGGATTCATTGAGTTCTTTGCTATGGATCACAGCGTCATATCCCATGTGCGTTTTGTCTCTGAAATGATGGTTGCTTGTTGATATTTCCAGTGGCTTATTTGATATTTCTGTCAATAGATAGAATATGCAGGATCAATAAACCATACAAATATTTAACCACATATTTAACGTGCTGTTGTAGCCTATGTCAGGGGTTTTCAACCTTTTTTTTTACTTGCTCCCCTGAACCCAAAACCCATTGAGAAACCAATGCGAACACCCTCATCACACCCACTCGCACAATATAACTGACATTGTGTATGCATACATGCATTTCAGTGCCTTTCGTTAATTTACTTTCAAGGGAGGAGACATAGTTTACAACTGACCTTCTTCAGTGTGATCAGTTGAGCCTGTTTCTGAGAGCACAACAGATTCTTGGTTCAATTCCAGACACTGCGAGTCTTAAATCATCCTCCTCTGTCATTAAATGTGAGCGGCTTTGGTTTTTAATATAAGTAAGGACAGAAAATGTTGTTTCGCAGAGCCAAGTCGAGGCTAAAGTACATACAGTAATAGCGAGTCTTGACAGTTTGGGGTACTCTGCCACGGCTAACAGCCAAAGCTGCGCAAGTGGGGTGGAACTGAAGGCTGCTTTCAGGGTGCGGTCACTTGAAAGTTCCAGAATAGTGTCCTGTTGGTCTGACGACAGCTGACACCCTGCATTGGTAATGAAGGGGTTACGAACCCAGTCGTGCTGGTCCCGACTCTGTTGCTCAGGAACATATTTCCTGAAGTGTGCAGAAAGGGCTTGCAGATGATGACCGATTTCCTCTTTCATAGCGTCCAAGCGAAGATCATTTTCCGTTATAAATTCCTCCATGGTGGGGAGCATGTCCACATTTTCCCCTAAACCTGTGTCAGTCACTGACAGTCCATTTGAATGGGGGTCCTGAAGTGACAGTTAACAGTATTAAGTCTATCAAAAATATCCGATAGGTACTGTATGCAAGATGCGTAGTTTATCTTGCGATGAAAATATCCGCTGAAGCACCTTTCCTCTTGAGAGCCATCTCACCTCCGTGTGCAGGAATAATGATTCGTGTTCTGACCTCATTTTTTTGCACAACAGGGCAAACAGTCTTGACTTTACTGGACGGGTCTTTATGAGATTTACAATTTGTGCCGCTGACAGCAGCACACTGTTCTACTCTGAAGGGAGTGTTTTTGTGTAATGGGTGAATTGAACATGTGGGGTTATATCATGAACCATTGCTTTAAGTACTTTATTTTTCCCTACCATAGCACCTGCTCTGTCTGTGCAGAGCACAGACCCTCTGCATCAAATTTGCTATTGAGTATATCAAAAATATCCCTCCCTGTGCACGTTCCTTCAAGTGCACAGCAAAATAACGAATCTTCAAGCATTTGTCCCTCATAGCAGTAGCGAACGAATACAAGTAGCTGCACAGCATTTGAGATTTCTGTCGTCTCATCCAATTGTAATGAAAACTTCTCACCACCCTTAATTCTCTCTATTAGTTGAAAATGTTGTTTGCCATCTCACTGATACGGAGGCTGATTGAGAGAATTTGCTCAATATCGCTGGCTAACTTCTCTATGTGTATAGTTCGACAAATAGCCAATGCTGCTGGGTGAATAAGAGTCTCGCCAATCATATGAGACTTTTTAGCTTTGGCAATCAAATACGCCACTTCAAATGAGGCAGTCAGTGTCACTGTGGTCTGTTTTATAATAATAATTGCTTACAATTATTTTCTGGCCACACCACTCAAAGCGCTTTACAGGTAATGGGGACTCCCCTCCACCACCATCCACTCTAGGTGGATGCTGCAATGTGCAGGATGCTGTAATGTGCAGCATCCACCTAGCCAGAACGCTCACTACACATCAGCTATCCGTGGGGAGGAGAGCAGAGTAATGAAGCCCATTCGTAGATGGGGATTATTAGGAGGCCATGATTGGTAAGGGCCAATGGGAAACTTGGAGTTACACCCCTACTCTTTTCGAGAAACACCCTGGGATTTTTAATAACCACAGAGAGTCAGGACCTCGGTTTTACGTCTCATCCGAAGGACGGCACCTGTTTACAGTATAGTATCCCCGTCACTATACTGGGGCATTAGGACCCACATGGACCACAGGGTGAGCACCCCCTGCTGGCCCCACTAACATCTCTTCCAGCAGCAACCTTAGTTTTTCCCAGGAGGTCTCTCATCCAGGTACTGACCAGGCTCACATCTGCTTAGCTTCAGTGGGTTTCCAGTTGTGAGTTGCAGAGTGATATGGCTGCTGGCTCTTTCTCATTGTTTTGTCATTGTTAGTTTTTGGCCAGCCAACTTTGATTCTTTACTATGGAAAAAGTTAACTGTCTTATCTTTGTATGAGGGGTGCTTTGTGTTTTAAGTGCCTCATTTATTTCATGTTTCAAGCTGTCATTTGCAAGAACCTCGGAACAAAAAACACATTGTGGACGTAGTTAGTCACTGAGTATGATACATGTGAATGCATAATTTATGTGCCTTTCACCATATTCCGTCGTTTTGTTGCACCGGGTCCTTTAGTTTTACCCAGGTTTCTAAGTTCTGAGCATAAACCTGCACTTGATGTGGATGGATCAATGACATCAATGGGGTCAGAATCGATGGGGTCGGTTGTGGTTTCCCCTGTCAAACACACCCCTGTCTTCTCCGATTTTGTCACATACTTTAACAGTTTCATGTTCACCGCTGTTCTTAACTTTAGCAATAAGCCACCGGTCCATTTTTAAGTTTGTAATGGTGGTATACAGACATTTTTAAAATGATTTACTTTTGCAATAGTGGCATTAGAAATTGCTCTCCATGATGCAAATGGCTTGGAATGTGACCAGATGAGATTGGAACATTTAGGAATCCTGACAAGCAAACTTAATAGGTTTCTATCAATCCTATAAATACTCTAAATTACGCCATCTGATTATTTTCTTCTGTGAGTTTGTATTTGAAATGCTGTACTAGAAGACACAGCTTGATTATTACAGTATCGAAGATCAAACAAACCTGCCTCAGTTGTGCAGTTAGTGCTGGAAAGACGAGAACATTGTAAAAGGCTTTTTGTGCAAGTGCAAGTTGTCTGATAAATTTAAACCTGCAGCTGGCTCTTTATTGACTTAATAACATGCCTTTTTTTGATCATGCCAGTAATTTATCTAACCTCTTCCATTACACTTCAAGGCTAATTTTATGTAAGTGGCCTTGAGGGTGAATTGGACTTTGCAGATGATACTTTAAACAGCAGGCCTCCACATTAATGGTTTTACTGTAGAAAAGGGAATTTTATCCAGTATTAATCAGAACATACTATATTTTAGTGGAAATAATCCCTCTTCCGGAAAGCAGAGATGGCAACTTTCTTACAACAGAAAGGAGACACCATTTGGCATAAAGGGCAATTGCTAATTAAATGACATACTGGGCCACAGGGTGTTATGAGTTGAATGTGGAGCTGAATCCCTCTTCTGTCAATAGGTTGAATATGCAGCGTCTATAAACCATACAAATATTTAACCACATATTTAACGTGCTGTTGTGGCCTCTGTAATTGAGCAGACATTTTTAAAACCATTTACTTTTGCAATAGTGGCATTAGAACGAAAGTAGATGGTTTCAAGCCTAATATACTGCCATCTTGACACATCCAAGAGGGGTAGG